ATAGCACGTTATAGAGCATGAAGAGTCCAGTCGAAAGGAGTAGCAAGAGGCTACGAATATTCGTACAAACAACAATTACGTTTCTGGAAAACTGCAAATTAAGGACTGCGTCCACACGTCACGGAGACAGTAACCACCAACCTTAATCAATTGTGGCACACTCAAATTGACAGCCTCTGTGCAAAAATACACCCATACCGTCCTACAAGAAGCTTCTCTACCACATAAAAAGAGCGTAAAACACGTATCTCTAATTGAATAGCGGGGTGAAGCGCAGTTACGAGGAGTGAGTCTGGCACCGCATAAGACAGATACAAGAAGTAACATGGTTCACCTGCTTGCTTTTGCGTCGAGCCACAAGTTTGTCGAGGCCAGTGAAGGCGCCCGATGCAATGAAAAGGATGTTGGTGGTGTCCACCAGCACCGACTCGCCGCGTATCTTTCGTGCACCCTTGCCGTCGGGTACACTCACTAATGACCCCTCCAGCATCTTCAACATACCCTTCAAGTGGAGAACACAAACGAGATGAGGAGTGGTAGGAGCAATGCAAAATGCCACATTATATCACAATGCACCTGCTGAACGCCTTCGCCGCCCACATCGCGAATAGAGTGGAGAAGGCCAGCACGACTGGAGATTTTGTCGACCTCGTCAAGGAAGACGATGCCCTGCTGAGCGCGCTCCACGTTGAAGTTGGCATTTTGTAGGAGCTTAGCTATCACCGACTCAATGTCCTCTCCCACGTAGCCCGCCTGCGTCAAAGTGGTGCAGTCGCAGATGGCAAACGGCACGTCCAGACACTGCGCCAGCGTCTGCGCCAACAGTGTCTTCCCTTTTGGCAATCAATAATTTAAAAAAAATGGACTAAAAAGCTAACCTTGATCATTTGTGAGGTTAAATAAAATTTCCAAAATTAATTTTCAGAAAATGTTTTTCAGGATGTTATATTTACGCTTGAATTCGCTAGTCGCTAAGATGTTCAAGATAGGTATCTACTGTTGCCATTATAAAGTGGCCTCCGTGTTTTAAGAATGGAATGATAGAATTTCTAACTAAGGATCCTCCTGAAAATCTATTTAAACAAGTCATTGAGAGCCACTCAGTATGTACTAAGTCCAGAAATTAACGATGACCGCCGCAACACAATTTTACCTTAATTAAGGAAAGGCGAATGCTATGTAAATGTCACACAAGGCCAATTTTTTGGCATAATACTGACCGGAAAGTGGTGAAATATGGGCGATAAAGAACCTAAAAAGTATGCATCGGTTTTGTCCCCCTGTTACCAATTGATGCCGTGAGTAACGAGCTCACGCAAGTGAATTGAATATGGTACAAATACGCGTAGGTCACAACAAGTTACCACAGAAAAAACCCATAACATGTTCATCTGAACAATCGAGAAAGTAAAACAGTTGTCATCTACCATCTTTCTATAAAAGAACAAAATTTGAAACTAGAAAGTGCTGACAAAAACAGTGTAATAAATGAGACTCTGGCCTCTTTAATGAGACTCCGAACGCTGGTGAATGTGAATTATCTGCTTCCCTTCCACTGTGTGCTCGTGCACATGTGGTATCCAACTTCCACCGGCAGAAGTCATGTGAACTCAACGGGTGTACCGGGGAGAAAGAGCGCCTCCTTTTGCATGGGCGCCTTGCTCAAGTGATTAAAAAAAGAAAACTTTGTACGCAGTTGGCACAGCCACTGCCATGAGAAATGTGGCAAATCAGCCCGGCGCGCGCACGAAACCTAATATCGCCTGAACCCAGTCCTTCATTAGAGTGCAAACGGTCCGATCGACAACAGTACACACACTCAAAAAATGCAAAGGAGAACGGTGCGTCGGAGAACACAGAAGTCGCATACTCTGATAAGGTTGGTTTGTATCAAAGTTTGTCAAGTGTTTAAAGACACTTAAAACCAGTTAGATTGAAGATCATCTGTTTGAGACGACATCTGAGGGATTCAACAAGATTATTAGAAACGCTATTTTAGCGAAAACGAAATAGCAATTGATTTTAATGGCAGTTATCAATCAAGAGATTCGTAAACTGATTAAATTCATATGATTAGTCCCTAAATAACGCTCATGATTAGGTTAAAAAGCCAGATGTCGCCTCATTAAAAGAGAATAATGGCAGGCAATAACAAGAAAGCGCCGTGGCATTGAAGACGTGAAATGGTTTCATGACTGCTCATGCACATTTTGTCAATCTATCAATGAGTAAACCCAACGCCGTTAAAAACATCCTTTGAGGTTCATTTCACTTGACAGTTACATAAACAAGTCAGTATGCAAATTTGCCGAGACAAAATCAATATCGCCTAAGAGCTCAACTCCACTGCTTCGCCTCCTTTGATCGCCTTCCCCAGCTTGTTCGCAAGACTGAAAAAACGGGCTCCAAACAGACATTTGCTCTTCCTGCGGAATACAATCGTTTGATTTGTGTTTCACCAAACGATGGCCTTCAAGCTTATGCAGCATGTTATAATCCCAGAAAAAAGTGTACCGACTGTGTACATCTTCATGACATCAAGCCAATAAGAAGTAAAGCCCAAGCAAGTAATTATTCATGAGCCACCTATATCCCTGCGTTGTGTTATTCGGTGTTACGGGAAAATGTATGGGCAACGACATTGAAATGGTAAGGTCAAAACACATTGAACAAACAAAGCATTTAGCGAACGCCGGTAATCACAGCACAAATAGTGGGTTAAAAAAAGACCACTTAAAGCATCCTACATATAACCTCAAATAATCTAATCGGAAATACTTTCGTAATTGAACCAATAAAATCAAATGTTCATATTATTGTTGCCCCAATGAGCCCCTCAAATGGACCAGATCTCGTAACGGAGGCAATGAGAGCAACAAGGAGGACGCATAATAGGTATTCTAATAAGTATACAGATTTTTTTTCCTGAAAATATGCGCAAGTTTTTGCAAATCTGCCTCTCTATCTTCCCACCTTATCCTTACTTCCACTTCCTCGCACGAAGGGCATCAAAGCACATTTCCAAAGTGGCACTCCAACCACGCCTTACACTTTTCAAATTACACAGTAAAAAGGGAACAACGGAGAGGGATTAAACAATCGATGGGCAATTCAGAGGAAGGCTTAGCAAAAAATTTAGTGTTCGACCGGAGCAAGATGAATCAACGAGCATTGCTGCATGACCCATTGAATCGCGTGATCGCCCTTTTAGACGTGTAAGTTAGCGTCCACAAGACAACGTTGGACAGAAAATGTGAGTAAATTTCATATGGCATGTGGATTAAAGTGAAGGTAGTTAAATTGAAATTTCCTGTCGACCGGCTGCGATCATTGGCCACAGGCAATGGCTAGACCTTGGTAGACGGCACAACCGCATACTAGAGAGGTATATCACGTGATAAAATCTATGCACTAAAGTGTCAAAAATGAAATATTCTAGTAATTGGTTTTTTGTGCGTAGAGCACTAAATTGCACCGTTCCCATAGCATAAACGGGCGCAAATTACATTGAAATCTAATATGCAAAATGCAAATCGATGTAAACAGTACCGGTAAAAATCACTCATAGAAACCCATTTATTACAGAAGTAGAAGTTCAGTGAGAGCTCGAATGCACCAGCCATTCCTTCTCAATTAAATTTTAACCAAAGGAAAGGGAGGAACAATATATCAGATAGCATAATTTCCTGTACACATGAAATATATATGAATTCCTATTTTATGAGCACAGCGAACAGGATTCTGCACGATAAACAGTCAAAAATGTTCACAATGCATTAAATATTTCATGCATGGGACGCAAGTTTTACACCAACTTCGGGAAAAGGAAAGAATTAAAAGAGACATGACTTGCCAGATCCAGTGGGCCCGAGAAGAATGATGTTACTTTTCTCCAGCCTTACAGGTTCACTCTTATGAGACTCATAAATGCGTCGAGAGCCGGCAATTGTTTCAGGCGCCTGGTGGGTTGGATCGCCTGTATCCGCAGGCCGAATGTTGTTGGTGGATCCCGGTCGAGAACCCGCGTCGGAAAGCAGATGAAAGAGTTCTGTGGTACAAAATGGCATTTTAAAACTTGCTACTTATTTACGGTTAGTAAAGTTATGTATTTAAGTGGAAGGTATAAGGATGGAGCAGCACTGATTATTAAAAAAGCTAAAAAATAACGTTTCTATACCAGTAACAGAAGGGCCAGAGGCATCAATTCTCCGACCGACTGGTTTGCCAGAATGAAAGGGGAAGGAGGTAAATGCAGGACTGATCGGCCGTACAATGGCGTCGGTGACAGCTGGATTTGAGTTCGAGTACGCGCCTTGTTCGAGGGTCGCTGAACCGGTGAGATCACCTTCGCAATTGAGACGATTGTGGTGAATGCGATTATAATGCGAGTAGACTTGCACCGAGAGAACCTTTTTGGCGTGGTCCTGGCCCACGACGTAGCGATCAAGATAGCTATGAATCTGTATAGCGATGAAAATAGGTAAAAAGCAGGGCTTAAGGTCTTACCCCAGGAGTTACAGCCCAACAATATAGTTCAAACATCACCCACGCAATGAACAATAACATAAGAATATCTCCATTAGGAGGACTTCACTGAAAAGAAAAATCAAGACAGGATTGCTAACAGGAATGCCGATCAACTGAACCAAGCATTCCCCGTCAGATAATAGAGAATCAGGAGGTCGTTAAAAAAATTGAGAATGAAATCTGAATGAAAGTCCACCCGTAGCTAAGGTCAAATGTCAAAAAAGTATTTAAGTAGGCATATGAACGTTTCCCACTAAGGTTTTGGATTTTGAAATGAGCTATATTAAACCCTTCTGCCTAAAAGCATTTTAATCCGTATAAAGCTTTTCCTCCATATCGAATGTTGCAAATTACTTGGACCGTCTCCTCTTGCCATTTTCATATAATAGCTAATAAGGAAGTCCATTAGAACAGAAATAATATGCTTTCAAAAGGCAAGAGGTCGATCTGCAATAATTTAAATTTATCGAACTTGTGGATGCAGAAATAGATGCGGGGGACTGGTAAGAATGGGAGTTGGATTAAAGCCGATCAAAATGATCGTAGCCAATAATAATGCACGAACGTGTCGAATTCAAACTGAACTGAGAATCTAAAATTTTCGTAAGATAATTTGAATGAAAGTCTCAACATGGTAACTAAGTAATAACAACCATTTATTAAGCACTTACAGTGCAGCAACCTGATGCCGGAAAAATGGGTAAAATGCCATTACAACAGTAACCCATAAAAACAAACCAGGACCACTAGCGTCCCAATGAACTCAATTAGCCAAACGACTGGGGGAACGCTTTTAAAACTTACTGGGTCCCTCAACGATGAAGGATAATCTTATGACGACAAAGACTCCCGAAACGAAACAGTACGTGGACTCGCCGTAAACTACATTTGATGGTGCATAAAAACTGAATTACATTAGGAGGACAATCCAATTTTTGGAGCTAATCGACCACGAAAAACTGACACTATATGGTCCAACTCCATTTTCACGGATAGCGAGACAGATAACCAGTTACTACTAGAGGCACAAACTGATTCTGCTCCACGCAAGTTAGTTTTATTGCATGCGCAATGACGTCAATCCTAAAAACCGAAAATTTAACTGGGAAAATCACTAATTGGATCTTACTTTTACTGTAAACAAATTCTTTTAGTACAAAATGGCATTATTTTTAAACAATCAGTGATCACTGATACCCCATACTAACATCAAAGTCTAGTTATCAATCAAACTCCGCGCATTCTGAGTACCTGACACCCACCCTCAAATAAACCTGACATACACGTAACTTACTCAAATTTAAAAGAAAATAATTCGTGAGCCGTGATGGCTGTTAAGAGCAATTCATACTGCCTGGGAGTTGAATTGCGCTAGAGACACTTTCTTAAATATGATTAACCCAAGGCACGGAGAAACGCTAGAATAAATCTCCACTCGATTAACTTATTCCTTGCTAAATCAGAATTTGTGACAGTAAGGGGGGCCCCAGTTTTACTAACCAATGGACAAGATTAAGGACTTATCCAAATTTTAAAGCAATCATTTCTTCCTTAACCAGCTAAAATAGCAGAGGGTAAAAATTCGGAACTTTTAGAAACTAGATTAGCCAAATGGAGGATGTGTAGACACGAACATCGCCGAGAAAACAATCGAATAAAAAGTTGGATGAAAATACCTGTTTGGGAGAAGGTGGTGGATTCGATGCATTGGCATCAAGTTTCACAAAGGATTTGAGGACAGTTTTGTCGATGAAAGTATATAGCTGCTGGCAGGAACCACACTTCATGAAACGAGAGATGTCTAGAAACAAAACACAAACATAAAGTTGATACTCAATGCACCAGGAGCTTTCCCATACTCCAAATATTGCCCCAGGAAATGTCATGTTTGGCAAAGCATACTGAATCATCAAACAGTGGACATTTCATCAAAACACGGCATTTGTCAAAAATCCCGAACGTAGGTAAAGAGTGCTTACGAGAGGTTGATGGTTCGATAGGGTGCAAGGGGGCACCGCACTTGCTACAGGTGATGATCAAACCATCACCGGGACCACTTTCTCTCCCACCATCACTGCCAATACCCGAAGTTGCCGAGGCCGAGAAAGTATCGCTGTCGGTCGTGGGAGGACCATTTAAAGGTCCTTCTGTAGTCCCCGAGTTAGCATTCTTGCCGCCTAGGTAGGACCAGAACGTTACACCAGGTCTTACACAGTTTTCGAGTTATTGCCCTTAATGATAGACCCAAAACTGTTCTTAGAAATATGGAGATAGAATACTGATAAAAAAGAAAACACTAAATGGAAGAAACGGTATGAAGAGTATTATTTACTACTATTACTTGTGCAGTGAAACATTGATTTAGGATTTACATCACTTGTTCAAGAATCTGCACCAACGAAAAGCAAGGAATGGAATACACTGAAATGTGCAATAACCTGATCTCCGACATTCTGAGGACAATGATTTAGGATTGGGATGAGAAACAAAAGAGCAACGATCCAAAGACGAAGATCGTAGAATGTTCTGCATTCCAAGGCAGCATGCAGGCCCTAAATTTCATATTGTACTTAATGCTATACGCATACACTTTTTGAACACAGGGCCCACACTCGCAATTCTCAGGGTCCTATACATTGTATAAGGAACGGTTGGTTTCATCTCTAAAGTCGCAAAATGACGGAAAAATTGGTTGTTTATAACCTATTGAAAAGCATGCTTTTATTCGTCTAAAATACGACGAAAAACAAGAAAGACAATATCGCACAAACTCAGTTCCAACTCAAGTCTGGACAGTAATTGGGACTTCATCCTCATTAAAGAAAATTATACGAGTATTTTTAGGTTCGTTATCTAGATAAACAACCAAAAATAGACATAGGGACTACGCAGCAATGCAAAACGAACGCTATCCATAACTTTGACCCACTTAGCCAGGGAACAGGCTAAAATGGCAACTTTGAAAAGGTGCACATTTAATTCAACAAAATGTTTGAATAGAGAAACTAACAAAATAGCAACACTATCTGGGTTTTAAGCTAAAGTCAAAGTGGGGTCCAGTGGCACTATAGAATTCGCGAACGCAAATCGTCTAATTGTAAATATAAGATAAGAAACCCACAAAGGTTTTGAATAAGAAGGGCCATAATATTTGTTGTGTCATATTTCAAAACCGTCTTCTACTGGATGAATAGCACCTGGTTCATTATTTTCACTCTTACGATAAATTTTCTGGCAGAAACTATTCCTGGCTGTTTTGGGCATCCGACTTATTTATACCCAGATATGCATGTTTCAATTCATTTTATAGAATAATGTGATGGTCTATTCACAAGTAATTACAAATTTTGACGCAATTATGCGGGGATGTTTACCAAAAACCAAAAATGATACTAATAGGTTTTTGGTGTCCTGTAACGGGTTGATATCTGGATTTTTCCCAGTTTCCCTCCTCGCTTCAACATCAGTAGGCTTCACCACGCACATTGGAGTAACACTGTAGCTGCTCTACTTCTCCTCATAGCCTGAATATCCCATGACACCGGGAAAGCGGAAGGTCTTGAGGGCTATGCTCATGGCCGGAAGAGCCTGTGTGGCTAAATATGCACTGAAACAAATGTTAAGGCACTACAGTGTGACGATAACTTATGTTCCGCTTTTTGACTCACACGTCTGTTACTTTCCTGCGTAGCGTCCCGAGGCTCCCTGAAGACGAAAGAGGACACAATACTCGGGCAGAATAT